AAAGTGTTGTTTTTTTTTTCCCAACACAGCACTCACCCTGCTGGATGTCCTCTGTGATCCAGACAGCCAGTCTTTCCATGCCTGCTGGCTCCCTGAGGCTCAGGGGAGCAGAGCTGGGTTGGGGTGAACCCACCCAAGATAGTTAGCAACTTTGAATCTCAGGATCCTCATCTGCAAGTTGTAGCTAATAAAATCTTTTTCTTCTTTTTTTTGTGGCTAAGCCTGGTGGCTCACCAGCACGTTGGAAGGTGAGATGGGAAGTTTAGGAGTTCAAGACCAACCTGAACAAAAAAGCAAGACCCATCTCTACCAAAAAAAATTTTAGAAAAACGTAGCCAGGTGTGGCAACACATGTTTGTAGTTCTAGCTACTTGAGAAGCTGAGGCAAGAGTTTGAGGTTGCAAGGAGCTATGATGATGCCACTGCACTCCAGCCCAAACAATAAAGACCTCTCATTAAAAAAAAAAAAAAAAAAAAAAAAACCTGCCTTTTCTACTTTGAATGAAACATTGCACAGGGAAAACTGTGCATATGACTCCTTTCTGTATCTTCCTCACTAAAAAAATCCCCATTTTCTCCTAATTCCTGATAGTACTTTTTCTCTTTTCTTTTCTTTCTTTCTTTTTTTGAGACATAGTCGCACTCGGGTAGAGTGCTGTGGCATCCTAGCTCACAGCAACCTCAAATTCCTGGGCTATAGCTATCCTCTTATCTCAGGTTCCCAAGTAGTTGAGACTACAGGCGCCTGCCACAATACCCAGCTATTTTTAGAGATGGGTTCTTTTTTTTTTTTTGAGACGGAGTCTCAAGCTGTCCTTCTGGATAGAGTGCTGTGGCATCACTCACAGCAATCTCCAACTCCTGGGCTCAAGCGAGTCTTCTGCCTCCCCCTCCCAAGTAGCTGGGACCACAGGCGCCCACCACACAACCGGGCTATTTTTTGGTTGCTGCCATCATTGTTGTTTGGCGGGCCTGGGCTGCATTCGAACCTGCCACCTTATGTGTATGTGGCTGGCGCCTTAGCCACTTGAGCCACAGGTGCTGAAACTAGACATGGGTTCTTGCTCTTGCTCAGGCTGGTCTCAAACACCTGAGGTTAGGCTATCCACCAGCCTTAGCCTCCAGAGTGCTAGGATCACAGGTGTGAGCTATGGTACCTGGGCCCTATCTCTGTTTTTCCTAAAGGCTAGATTATTATGATTTAATTTTTCTTATAGCTATACAGAATTATTTATTTGAGACAGAGTCTTTTGCTTTGTCATCCAGGCTAGAGGGCAGTGGTGCAATCATAGCTTGCTGCAGCCTCCACTCAAGCAATCCTCTGCTTCAGCCTTGGTAAGACTACAGGCGCGTGCCACCCTCCCTGGCTAATTTTTCTTTTTTAATTTTTTTGTAAAGACAGTGTCTTGATAAATTGCCCAGCCTGGTTTCAAACTCCTGGTCTCAAGTGATCCTCTGGCCTTGGGTCTCAAATTTTGGTACCAAGTTTATCATTTATGATCCAATCAACTCACGAAGGCATGTATTTGTTTACTGATTCAACACTTTTCACCAAACAACACTATGTGCTACATTTTATTTTGTGCAGATGCTATTTTAGTCAGGGCCTGGTAAGAAATGGAGAGCACCCTCAGATTGAGCAATCTGATGAGTATATAAAGAAGGTGAGAAAGGGGGTAGGGAAACCCTAAGAGATAATATCATAACAGATGCATGTGCACACACACACTCACCCAGGACTGGGTGAGGGGGGGAGCTCTTGACTGAACTCAGAGGCAGACAGAACTGGAAGAGGACCACTGGCAGAAGCTGCGGAGCAGATGCTTCCAGGGCCTGCCCACAGCCCTGGATTTTACCATTTCAGCACACACCAGCCTGACTTCCAACCACCAGGTCCTGCATTTCTTTGCCTCAGGGCTTTTCTCTAGCAGCCGAGCTGGCTTTGCTCACCCACAGAGCAGGCCAAAAATGCTGGGGAATTAAAACCTCCACAGGAACAACACTCAGCCAATGACTGATGGGATTTGGAATATAAATACCCCAGCTCCCCCACCCTTCAGGTGAGGTAACTTTGAAGTTCATGTTCTATCCTAGAGTTCCCCAGAGGGATTAAACTCTGATGCCCACAGTGGCAACTTGCTCGGTGCAGCGCACCCCTTATTGGCTTCTTCCTTTCTCTGTCTCACTTCCCCACTTGCCTTCTGGCATTTCCTAGGATCCTTTCCCAAATAAACTACTTGCTTGAATCCCTGAATCTCAGGCTGTGCTTCTGGGAAAATCACTGGGTGACTGTTGGTGAAGGGACACAGGTTAACCATTGGTTGAGCCCTGCTAGAAGTGAAATGGCATGGAAGCGCATTGCTAAACTTGGGACAGGCCCCTCTCGGGGGACAGAGAGCAGCTGGGAAAGGGATCTGGAAGGGCAGAGTAGCAGTAGCCAGTCTCCCCAAGGACCTTGGCATCCAGCAGGGAGGACAGAGAACATGAAAGTAATTGCAACAAAGCAAGTTGAGCTCTACAACAGGGAAGTCCAGGGTACTACGCAATTCTCAGGACCCCTCCACTAGTCGTGGGTGGAAGGTTCCCCAGAGGAAGCTGTATGTAGGTTGAGACCTGAAGGATAGGAGTAAAGGGGAAGCCGCAACAAAGCGTGTTCTAGGCAGAATGAGCTGCCTGTGCAAATCCTCAGAGACAAGAGAGGACGTGATTCGGTGGAACAGAAAGAAGTCAGCAGACCTGCTTCTCAGAGCTCCAAGTGAGGACGGGAGAGAGGCCTGAGCTACCGGTGGGGCGAGGTAGAAGGACATCATGGCCAAACCAAGAAGTAAGTCTGGGCCATACCCTGAAGGAAAAGGGAATCTCTGAAGGTTTGTAAGCAACAGAGTGACAGGAGTATAGCATTCTAAGGTCTAGTCACAGGGCAGGGTGGAGGGTGAAATCTGTGGGAAGAAGGTCCTTGACTCCAGTTCTTGGGCTGAGGATGGCTGGGAGAGCACTGAGGTGGGGAAAATGGGAAGGAGCAGTTTGTTGGGAGCTCAGGGTAGGACTGAAGTTTCCGAGATGCTACATTTGAGGGAACTGTAAGGCTATCCTTATCTGGGGGTCAATGAGCAGATGGCTCTGGACATCAAAAATAATATCATGGCTGGAGATAGGACATGCAGGTGAGTCAGCCAACGGCCACCATAGCCTCGGGTGTGCAAAACCCCCACAGCTTAGCGCAGGCAGGGACAGGGCCCAGGCCACTGCCTGGGGAGGTGCCAGATTTTGGGGATGATAAGAGGAGGTGAAGCTGGCAAGGAAGGCTGAGGAGCAGCTACAGAACCAAGGAATCTGCCACCTGAAGGTCAAGAAGGTAAGGAAGAAGTCTGTTAGGTTTAGTAGAATCAGCCCTGGTGGTGACAGTGGAGTCTAGCGAGAAAGCTGCAAGCCTGGCTTGAGGACTGAGAGGTGAGAGTAAAGAAACTACGTGTGGGGGCTCAGCGCCTGTGACTCAAGTGGCTAAGGTGCCAGCCACATACACCTAAGGTGGCAGGTTCAAATCCAGCCCAGGCCCACCAAACAACAATGATGGCTGCAACCAAAAAAAAAGCCGGGTGTTGTGGCAGGCGCCTATGGTCCCAGCTACTTGGGAGGTGGAGGCAGGAGACTCACTTGAGCCCAGGAGTTAGAGGCTGCTGTGAGCTGTGATACCACAGCACTCTACCCAGTGTGACAGCTTAAGGCTCTGTCTCAAAAAAAAAAAAAAAGAAAGAAAGAAAAAGAAACTACACGTGGGGATGATTCCTTCCAAGGTCTGGGAGGAGAGGGCTAAGTGGTCATAGGGGTCCAAGATGAGGGGAGGAAACAGCCCATCTCCACTACAGGGGAGAAAACTCAAACCCCACGCCCCAGGGAGAGACATGGGTCCTCTTTGCTAGTGCCTGGTGGCCTTCCTCTCTGTGCTGCCTTGCTAGGAGGGACCACATGGGACTCCTGAGTCCCCAGACTGGAGGTGCAGCCAGGGTGGCACTAAGGCCAAAGGAGGAAGCCCCTTCCCTGCTCATGCGTTTTACATTGTGGGCTTTGACATCAGGTTTCATCTGAAGAAACTATTCTGCTGCCAAAAAGCATTTGCAAGACCATCGATCTAGTCACATTACAGGTGGGTAAACTGAGACCGGGAGAGGTGGAGCCATGCCTAGGGTTCAACCAAGTCAGCTACAGAGACGGAACTGAACTCAGCCCCAGGACTCGAACTTAGGGGGTTATTCCACCATCCCCGAGTTCCAAGGAAGGAAAGGGCCATGGCAAGGCCAAAGGCAGAGCCACCACAGGGCTGCAGTTAGAGGCAGGGCCCAGCAGCCAGCAGAGAGAGACAGACAGGAAAGTAAACATGCAGCATGTCGCATGCAGCACATGCCAACGAGAGGCGGCTGCCTGCTGCGCCATAGCAGAGCCGCCTCCCCTCCCACACCCCCCCTCGTCCAGGCTGCCCCATGCTGGCCACCAAGTGACCTACCTGGGCCCTGTCCCCTCCTCCCTAGGCTAGCTGGCCTCAGACCCCAGGCCCACCTCTCCACATGCTCCTTCCTTCTCCCGGCCTGCTCAGACAAGCACATGAATAGAACATTAAAGGCAAAATCTTCTAAAAGAAAAAGCAGCTCCCTGGTAGGAGTCGCCCCACTAAATGTCAAATGCAGAGCAAGGCTTCCTGCCTTGTGTGCTTCGCACTAATGGAGGCACCTTAGCCTCCATCTCCCCACCACCGGATGGCCCTATAAATAAATCATGGTAAGAAGAATGCCAATTTTCCCCCAGGGCCTCATGAATCTCTCTACATAAGCATATGTAAAAGCCCCTTCTCTGGGCTTGGCTCAGGTGCCCAGAGAGACAGCAGACTCTGCTAGGTCAATGCTGGAGGCAGAAGTAAACTTCCATACTGCCTCCGTGGGCTCAGTCTGGAGCCAGCTTTTCTCCCGACTTGGGAAAGACTTTCACTCAATTTCCTGCAGACTCACCTTGGCTGATGTAGTTGTCACCACCATACCACAACCCTCTGGAATCAATCCAGTAAGCTGCCAAGAGGCCCACCTCTGGGGGCACAGTGGTCTCTCCCCCAGTAGACATGAGATGAGTCGTGCCCACCACCCCCTGTAAGCCACACACCCCCTCAGCAAGCTTTGTTCCTGACATGTGGCACACATGGTGCAGGCCCGCCCACTCCTGGGGGCACCCCACTGAATGGCTCACCAGCCTACTGCAGCACCAAGCCAGGCCAGTGGACTGAGAATGTGGGCTCCAGTGCACTCAGGGACTCAGGGTGCCCTGCTCTGCAACAGTGGCCCTCTGGCGCAAACCCAGGGGAGCCTGTTACATGTGCACCAGGTGAGTTTCTACGTGTGCGTACACACACACACACACACACACACACATACACACGGTGTGGTGCCAACTCTCTTGCTGTGCCAGCACAGAGGCCTCCAGAGTGCCTCTTCTGAATCAGATAGCAGGGGCTGTTTGCAGTTTTGTATCCAAACTTCGCTGACTGATTAGACAGTAATCACAGGCTCCCATATCTGTTGGATTAGACACCCAGCTCAGCGGCAGAGGAGGGCCTCCAGTCTGGAGTGGGCTGCTTGCTCTTCCACACTCCGAGATCAGCTAGCCTCTCTGCTTTATTCAATCTTTCTTCTTTTCCAAAAAAACAACAGGAAAAAATTGGCCTCTCTGGGATTTGATCATGGCTGGAAGGGGACAAGAGAAACCCTTTCTGGAGGGCTGGCAGGCTGGGGCCAAGCTATGGGGAAGCCCCCCAGGCGGCGGAGACCTGTCTGCCACTGCCACCCTCCTAGGCAAAATGTTCTTGGGGAGTTGCTCCTCAGACAGCCACTGAGCAGCATTGTTAGCCAGTCTGTCAGGTCAGCCTCGAAGGGGAGTTGGGGAGAGCAACCTATGGGGAAAGCTAAGAGCCCAAAGCAGCAACCAACCCCCAAATAAACTATGACCCTGTGCCTTTCTCAGGGACATGAAATCAGGCAGGAGGGTGCCTGGTTTGCTAGTTTGTCTCTGTCCTCAGGAAGAAACCAGAGCAGAAGACGGAGGTGAGGGGTGTGTCTTCCCAGACACAAAAGGGGACAATGTAGAACAGGACATTTGAGCCAGTGGCTCTGGGCCCCAGGAGTCCCAGGCCCTGGCCAGAGAGCTTTCTGAAGAGCACCAGAAAAAGAGCGCATGAGAACTATCAGGAGGCTCTGTAACAAGCCACAAATGATTCAGCAGCACCCAGCACCCCACAAAACAAATGTTATAGAAATCAAGACAGATGGGCACATGAGACAGCGGAGTGCAGAGGTTGAGGGAGCAAGGGAGAGAGCGTGGGCTCAGTGGGCAGACCTGGGATTGCATCCTGTGTCAACAGAGTGCTGGCTGCGTGACCCAGGACAAGGGACTCCATCTGTTTGTGCCTCAGTTTCCTCATCTGAAAAGTAGGAATAAGTATAGATGGATCTTGAGGGGTGGTTGTAGAGACGGCATGGAGTACACTTTGCCTGGCCCATAATAAATGCCCAGTCAATACTAGCAGCTACTGTCACTAAGTGGACAGGGACTGGCATTACGAATCCAAGGCAGGTGGGGAAGAATAGTCCATTCCTTGCTGGCTGTTTGCAGCTTGCATCTGTATCTCCTCCCAGCAGGCTTGGCCAGGCATGCTCTGTGAGACCTGAAGTGGCTTCACCTTGCTCTAGTGAGGGACACCAAGTCAGCCATGCCCCCCATCCCAGTTCATCGAGACTCCTAGCCTTGAAGCCAATGGCTCTCTAGGTCTTCTCACAGGGCTTGGGGAAGTCCTCACACTGGGGTCCCTGCCCGACTCCTCTCTCTGACTCACTTCTCCAGTTCTACTTAGGGTGGCCTGCCCATCGCATCCCGAGGAAAGGGCTGCTTCCAGCACTCTGCACAGAGGTCCTGCCTTCTACCATCCCTAGAGGCTCTGTTCCCGTTTCGCCAGCTATTTTGCTTCCTCGGCCATCTGTTCCCTCCCTGTCATCTCCTCTCTGCTTTAACCTTAACCACTACTTCACTGCAGATGGTACCAAGCAGATCCGTTCTTGACATCCTGCGTGATGCCTGCCCCCTCCTTCTCATCTCCAGCAAGTGAACGGCTCTGTCCTTTTCAGGCCCTGATCCCAGAGCTATGTGGCCAGAGCTGGGAGTTAGATTCACTCTACAAACCTCCCCCTCCTGGATCCCATCTGCTGTCAACTCTGCCACTGGTTAAGGGGCAAACACCTACCCCTTCCCCTGCTCTTTCCTTTTCCTACCTTGAATTCTTCCTCTTAAACTTGGCCAAGAACCTCTGATGGCACCAGATGCGTGTCTGCCGTGGTTCTCTACCTGATTTTCATAAATAGTGCCATTTACCCACTCAGAGGGCTCAAGGCTGGCAGGCTGGGGCACAGACTAGAAAACTAGAAACTCTGGAGTTCATTCCTGCCTTGGAGGAACCAGAGCGCACGCTGGGAGTTTGGGTCATGAACAGTTTCCCTTGTAGAAAATGGACCTGAAAACTCTGCAGTGAGGAATTAGCCCTGTGTTGGCATGACAGGAACCAAACCAAAACACATTTTATACATTGTCTGAGCTCACAAGGGAAACATTCTTCTGCTGTCCTTGCTTTTCTTCTGGCTACGGAGGAGAAAATGTATGCATGGTCTTTACTTAGCAACTCCCTCTGCTGCTCTGTGAGGGTGTCCTGGTGCTCCCCTAAGATTCCTCCTCTTGGCTTCTTTTTTCTGGTATAAGGATGAGGAGCTTTGAAGGAAGAAGCAGCCCAGAAGCTCCTAATGAAAAAAGCTGTTTTGGTGAGATTGGCTCTATCAGCCTGTATTCCTTAATTAGAAGAGAAATGGGCTGGGAAGACCAACATTCCACATATGCACCGGATTTGGGAGTAAAAAGTCTCACGTCCCAGCCCTCTAGAGAAGGTCTCTGCTATTTTCCCTCTACACTTCCTTTGCATCAGAAAAGAATATTTTGGCTCTGCATGGAACACTCCTCTCTGCCTCTCCACTGGAGTTAAGGGCAGCCACCACATTACTACTAATATTTCCAAGTGCTAGTTGCCCCCAACAAGAGGCAGAGATGAAACCTGCTCACACCGGGCCACATAGAGACGCTCTAATCACCTAGGGAGGCTCTGGATTCAAATCAACCAGCCACTTGACAACACCAGGGTCCCTCCCTCCTCTGCCTTCCCTTTTTCCCACAAAGGAGAAGCCCACTGCTGCCACCAGGCCAGCCCACCTGGCTATGGAAACCAACAAAATGCATCTTAGTGGGTTGCAGGTCTTAATCTAGCACTTGCTGAATTATGCAGAGATGGCATTAACTTATAAATGAGTGTGTTTGACTGATTTTGTGGCTGATGTACAGATAAATTCTAATGAAAGACAGTTACAAGATTTTAAATTATTAATTAGACTGTCACTTAACAAAGCCTATTTGGCACTTTATTTCCTTGCTTAACAAGACAAAAACTTTAAGGAAAGGTTCTGTATTAGCCCAGAGGTTCTGGATTTGCATTCTGTTTTTATAGCTCTAAAAATGAAAACTATAGGTGCTGACCTTAAGCAGGCCACTTCTAGCAAAACGAAAGCCCTGGCGGGCCGCCCTCTTTCTGCCCTTCCTTCCTGGTTATTGTTGGGTGGCAGGTGCCTCACTTGCCCTGCCTGCCTCTCATCTCTGGACCACAGGCTTGCTTTTTATATTGCTTGTTTTGCCAGGGTAGGTTAGGAGATGGGAAATCAGGCAGAGCAGCTGCTTAAGTCTTCGACTACCAGCACAGTCAGCAGCTGGGTCACACTGGTGTTGTTCTAGTTCACAGAAATGGGCTGTGGACAAATGAGTCTATCAATTAAGAGATGCAAGGCAGTATTCCCAAGCCCCTAAAATGTTAAGGGACAGCCTTTTTTTGAGAGAGAGTCTTACACTGTTACCCTAGTGCTTTAGTGTCAGCCTAGCTCACAGCAACCTCAAACTCCTGAGCTCAAGTGATCCCATCTTTGCCTCCCAAGTAGTTGAGACTATAGGCGCCTGCCACAACGCCCAGTTAGTTTTTTTTTATTTTTAGTAGAGACAGGGTCTGACTCTTGCTCAGACTGGTCTCAAACTCCTGAGCTCAAACAATCTGCCCACCTCGGTCTCCCACAGTACTAGGATTACAGGCATGAGCCTCTGCACCTGGCCAGGGGCAGTTTTAATAAGACAACTAGAAATCAGAAGAAAGATGACTCCCATAGTCCACGAACTACTCCTGCCTTTCTCTTCCTCTGGGGCTTCATGCCATTGAACCCCTAACTCTGCAGGACACCCCATTATCAATACCATAAGCCCATGCTGGATGTAATGGCTCATGCCTCTAATCCCAGTGATTTGGGGTTTGGGGAAGCTGAGGCAGGAAGATCCCTTGGAAACAGGAGTTCAAGACAAGCCTAGGCAAGAAAGTTAGACCCTGTCTCTAAAATAATAAAAAATTAGTTGATCAAGGTCGCTCAAGCCTGCAGTCCCAGCTGTTCAAGAGGCTGAGGTGGGAGGATCACTTTAGCCAGAGGTTTAAGGCAGCAATGAGCTATGATTGCACCACTGCATTCTAGCCTGGACAACAGATCGAAACACCATCTCCAAGAGAAAACAAAACAAAATAAAACCACAATCCCTACCCTTTGCAAAAAAAAAAAAAAAAAGATTTTTTTCTCTTCCTTCCTCCCCCAAGGATCTAGGGAGGTCTACTCCTTTCCTCATCCTTCAAACCTTCTTCCAAATCATAATTAAATTATTAAACTTCCTCAGGGCCAGGGCCAAAGTAGTTCTCTGCATCTGATAAGCAAGGAAATCACAATAACTATCTGACCCATTCTATAACATTTTTGCTTGGAGCCTTTGGAAAGGATTCTAGAAGCAAAAAACTTTAATGGCCACCTCCCATGGTATTAGCCTCAGGGGTAATTTTGGCATTACGGGCATACCTAGAATCCATACAATCTGAATGTCCAGTTCTTGTGTACAAAGGAGTTCAAGGGATTAGGATCAGGGGCCAAAGCAAAGGAACGAAACAAAAAGTCATTTGCCCACACAATGTCCTGGGGCAGTATCTAGGCCACCCAAGCTAAACCCAGGGCAGCAAAGGGCTTCTCTGCTCTGCTTCCCTAGGACCAATCCAGGAAACCTCTCGGTTGGTGGAACCTCTCCTGCCAACTAGGCAGTGGAGGAAGGAAAAAACAGCCCAAGTGGCAAACACACATGACTGCTAAGCCTCCAGTGGCCACCTCTTGAGCAGGGTTAGGAGCCTCCCCCCAGAGAGCAGCCTCCAGAATGCACTGGGCTCCTCCAGACTTGGGCCTCTGGCTAGCCAAGATGAGAGGGAGAGGCTTGTGGATGTTTCTGGAGCCTCCTTGGGCACCTAAACCATATAAATAAAGTGCGTAGGCTGTTTCATGGCTCATTTTTAACTGTAAACTGCCAAAAGACAAAAGACCAAAAGGGAAATGAGATGTCAGTTCCTCTCTATTATCTCCATCACAGACCTGCAGCCCAGACACCGGCGGCCTTTTAAAACTGCCTGGGAAGCCTTCCCTACTGGGGTGAGTTTGCTCACTTCAGGCCCCAGCTTCTCAGACCTGGGCCTGCGCTGGACTCTGTAAAAAGCACCTTCTCTTGCAGACTCTTTGGCCAGCACCACTTACTGGCTGAAAGGACTTTTGGTCCCTTTCTGCAGGGAAAAAGAACTAGGTGCATCAGTGAAGCAGTTTCTCCAACCAGCCACAGAGGCTTTTTCCACAACACACAGGGCAAGGTAGCCAGTGCTTCTACCCCCCCCCACCACCACCACCACACCGACCCACGTGGAGGACACAAGTCACAGACAAGTTTGTGACTAGTTCTACTCAATGGGGCAACTAAGCTTCCCTCCTCAGTTGGCCTGAGAGGGACCACCACCATAGCCTTTACTGCCCCCACCGAAGGCGTGGTTTCCACGAACTGCTCATCAGTCTCTTCCATCACCCCCACACCTGCTTCTCTCCGCCCATCGAGGGGCTTTGCTTCCCCCACCGCTGCCACCTCCCCCTGCCCGTTTTCTCCTTCTCCATCCTGCTGTGAGGTCAGAATCCCGTGCTTACGACACCTCAGTCTGTTGCCATGGAAACAGGGGCGGATTAAGGCTGGAGCGCGGAGCGCAGGGATCAGGCCCCTCCGCTACCTGAGCTCCCGCCTTAGCCAGCTCCCGCAGGGCCCGGGCAGCCAGCTTCAGGCGCCGCTGCTTGTCTGCTGCCTGGCCAGCCCCGGACAAGGATTAGGGGATCCCGGCGGGGCGCCACAGCCCGCTTGAATCTGTGAGGGGATAGAGGCAGACGCAGAGGCCAGAGCAGTTGGTGGCGGGGCCTCGGGGCTCACGGCTGGTCACCTGCCCTCCTTGGGCCCCCGGGACAGCGCCCACCGCGGCAACCACGTGGGGCGCGGCGGGACTTCCCCGGTGCCGGCGCCAACTTTGCAGCGCTTGGTACCGGGCCGGGCTGCCGAGGAGTCTAGATAAGGTGGTCTCAGAGCCAGCGCTCCTCAAGTTGAGACCGGCACCGGTCGCGCATACTGCCAACGCGGCCTTTGCCTTCGGGTCCCTCTGTTCCAGGCATATGGAAAGTTTGAGAAACCGGACAGCAGGCGATTGCCACTCCCCACCTTCAGCCGCTGGGTGCTTAGAGCCTGTGCCTGAGGATCCAAGTAGGGCTGCAGGGAAAGCGTCCGCATCCGGGCCCCGCCTGGGGAGCTAGGGCGCGCGGTGAGCGCTCGGGCCGCGCGGTGACTGACCGCTGGCTTCGCTGGAGCGCGGGTTGGACCCGGCCTCGCCGAAGTGTAAGAAGCAAGGGGAGTGTGCCCGCGCAGGGGATGGGGACTGCAAGTGCAAAACTTTATAATAGCAAAGCAAAGGTCCCAGAAGGCCGGCTCTCCTTTCATTACAGACTCTTTCATTCTGGTCTCCAACCGACCCCTCAGAACCAAGTCCCTAGGCCTCGCTACTTGATACATAGAACAAACCCGTGTCTCACAACCGACGGTAACTGAGCTCCACTAGCAGTCTTCCTCAGCGGGTGCGTCCAGTAAAACCGGCCGGGGGCGCTTCCCGAACCCAAAGCCTCGGTGCCCACGAGCCCGGAGGTCTCGGGCTCGTGGCTCTGCCCCGTGCGCATCCAACTCCAACTTGCCCCTGCGGCTCCAACTCACCTTTGCGAAGCATGTTGGCCGCGGGGCCGTTGCTCCGAAGTCGGCCTAAGCGCGCTTTCTCCTGGGGTCCAGATTCAAATCCCTGGGCGCCAGCTGCAGCTAATCCGAGCGCGTCGAGGTGGAGGCAAGCCGGGGATCCACTTGTGCCCGGCAGCCCGACCCCGCAGGGGCATGGTGAGCCCAAGCCCCGCGCCGATGGCACCGGCGCCCGCCAGCAACCGCGGCGCTGCCGGGCAGTCCAGCGCGCTCGCTCAGCCCCAGGGCGAGCAGCTTGCTCCGAGGGGCCGGCGGCCTGCTTCTGCCGCCCAGAGCACTTTGCAGGCGGTTTTGAGGGGGGACGCCGCCCCCGGCCGGCCAGCCACAGACCCCTCCTCTCCGCCCCCTCGGGCCACCACCGCCGCGGCTGCTGAAAAAGGGCGCTCGCACGCACCGCGGAGCTCCGGGGAAAGCGCCCGGCGCGCGTTTGCAGGACCCAGCGATCGGTGGAGCGGGGCGCCTCCCTTCCTCCCCCTGGCTTCCCCCTCCTCTCCTCCCCTCCCTCCCTCGCTCGCTAGCTCCCTCCCTCTCTCTCCGCTCCCCGCCCCCGCTCACGGAGCGCCTCCCATACAAAATTTATGAAAGTGCTCTCAGCTCGCAGTGCCGAGCGCCGTCCTATTCCCAGGGCAGCGGCGCTCACCCGCGCGGCGCCGCCTCCCAAGGTGTTTTCGCTGCGCCCGCCCCCGGGGACGATCCTCGGCCGGCGTCCGTCCAAGTACCTGCCCCAGTGCCCCGGCCAGTCGTCGAGCCACTCGAACACCCCTCCTCGGCCCCGCGGGCTTCCCGGAGCCGGTACCCGCAGCCTGGCCTCCGCCTGCTCGCCCTTCGCGGCTGGAGGTCATCGGGAAAGGCGGCTGGAAGCGTGCTCCCTGCCTACCGGCTGGGACGGGGGCACCACCGCCCACTGTCCGAATCACAAGTCCGCACCCCTGCCCCAACTCCTCCCCAGCCAGCGCCCCTTCCTCCTAGAGTCTCGACGGCTCTTGCTCGCTCAAAACAGCTCGGGCAAACGTAGCCGCCCCACAACCCGCTGCCCAGGACACTGTTCTTTGGGGCGGGGGGAGGTGAGGGACAGCAAGCTCTGGAGCAAGCATAGGAGGCCCAGTTGCAAATCTCAAAGAGAAGGAAGGAGTGATTTGGACCGCAGGCGGGCTATCTCCACCTGGGCTCTCATCTCCGTCAGTCCACACAGACCCAGCCCCGGGATCTGAGGAAAATGGAGGAGGCACCGCTTAGAAAGCGGGTCCCGCAGCCGGCCCACCGGGCCGAGAGTCGGGAAGGTCCAGGCTAAGCGAGATCCTGGTGGAGGCCGGCACCCCCTACTGGCCTGGTATAAGAGGGATTCTGAAGGAGGAAAAAGAGGGGACAAAGTCACTCAACACATTTATTGAGGATTTACCATGTGTGAGGCAGTACTATTCCCTGAAATTCAGCCAATGAAAAAGACTTGTTTCTCCTGTCCTCCCAAGTTTACATTCTAGCAGGGACCAAATGAGGAGAGTCTGGATGCAAGGAGATGATGCTTAGAAAATAAGCAGGGTAATATTCTAGAGGTGACACAAGGGGTCAGAGACTGCTCTGAGCAGGTGACATCAAAGCGGAGAGCTAATTGAAGTCCTCCTTGGAGGAAAACTTGGCCTGTTAGGAAGGTCAAAAAGAAGGCCAGTTTCATTATTCACTCATACATGTATTCAATGACACAAGAGGCTCCAGACTTGGCCTTCCGGAGGGTTACAGTGTAGTCGAAAAAGACAGACCCTCAACCATCTTAGAATGTGACCGACCATACAAAGTGTGGGAGGGGAGTCTGCTACCTCTGTGCCAGGGTAAGGAATCAGGAAATGTTCATAGAAAGGTGCTTTTGAAGTTAAGACTTGAGGGCTGAGTTCATCAGGCTGAAAAGGGAATAGGGCATTCTAGGAGGAGAGAACAGAGTAGTGGCTCATGCCTGTAATCCTAGCACTCACTCTTGGAGACCCAGGTGAGGTGGATTGGTTGACCTTAGGAGTTCAAGACCAGCTGGAGCAAGAGACCTCAGTTTCTACTAAAAATAGAAAAACTAGCCTGACATTGTG